CCTTTATGCATAAATAAACAAATAACGTAGCTCGGTGGGGCCTAGTACGAAAATAAAACAATTAACATAGTTATCAGTGGTTTGGTAAGCTCCAAAAGAATCAGCGTCAGGGCCTCGTCACTTCAAAAACGCAAACTGAACTGAAAAAAAAGCCTCAAATAATAGCGTGCGGCGACACGATGCAGTTGCGTGTTCAACAGCACCGGCAGGTACACAACATTATTTTTCTGATTAGAGTTGTTCAACTTGTTCTCTTTATTTGGACAACGACTTTGAACTATTGAATAGTCAATAATCATGGTTACAATTATGGTTTAGATAACCCAATTAAGGGTGTGGTTTTGGTTCAAGTTCAAATTTGTGAGATTTGATTTTATTTGATTAGTTAACTCTTGCCGTTGAAATTATTGGTTTTTTTTTTTTTTTTTTTTTACGAATTATATTATTAGGGGTTAGATAAGCAGGAGATAAAGTTTGATAAGTATTGTATTAAACCCGTGACTTGATTGGTGAAAATGAAGCAATTAATTAATTAATTGGGATGTTGAATCTTAATCACAGTCCACATCATTTTTCCATGTTCAAGAGTGCTCATTTTTTTCCACGTCACATGTTGCATATTATTATTACTTTTTGAAACATAAAATTGTGGCAAAGTGTGCTCGTTATGACTTCTACAAAATAGGAGTAGATGATCTTATATCAATATTAATTATACTTTAAAGCTTAATCGTTAATGTTATTTCATCTAATAACTCGCGTGACTAATTGTAGGAGATATATTAGAATTTGAGATGATATAAACTTCTGGCTAAATAAGATAGATCTTGAATTTACAACGATGTATAGCAGTAAGGACTCATTAATTAGTCGTTTGAAGGATAAGGTCAAAACATTTTGAGTCATTTGACTATTCTTTGGGTCGAGCGTTTTCCCAAGTCTACATCTACACGCAGACGTTTAACATTATCCAAACCATGTTTTGAGGATGGATATTCCAAAGAAAATACATGTAATAACTAGTTGGCAACCGGTTCTTTGTAGGAGTGTTAATCAATCGATCCAAACTGATTCAAACTGCGGTGACCGAACCGAAAAACCGATAACCGAACAAATAGAAAACCAAAAAATAAAAAACCGAAAAAAAAATCGTAACTTTTAATTGGATTAGATCGATTTTTGGATTGCTTAATGAAAATCAATCCAATATATTAATTCTCCTCTACTTACTTTGGTCTTTCTCCATTCATAATAAAAAATTTCTAAACCCAAGACCCATTAACCCATCAACTAAACCCAAGAAAAAACCTAGTTACATCTCATCAACAAAATTTCATCTGCGTAGAGCTTCATATCTCATTGCCCAAAAAAAAAACTATATTATCGTTTACTGATTCTTTTGTATTTCAATTTTTTTTTTTACAAAGCCAATATATATACAAAAGATGTTACTGCATGAAATAAATTTTAGGATTTTCAAAATACCGAAAACCGATCCAATCCAAACCGAAAAAAATTGTATAAGATCGGATCGGACTTGAAAAAAAGTCCAAACCGAATGAATGATTACATGGTCAAACCGAAGGGATTGGATCGGATGATTTTTGCTTCCAAAACTGATCCAATCCAGACCGCGAGCACCCCTAATTCCTTGTGTGGCCGGAATGGTAGCATACCTTATTAACCAATTATTACATTAAACTAAAGATAAAATTATCTAAACAATGTCGTTTTGAAATTTAAGATTTTTTTTTTTGAAAATTTTACTTTTTTCTTGTATTTTAAATTTTATTAAAATAACTTGTATTTTTTTTTTTCTCAAAATCCCAAAACAATGTCATTTTGGAATTCTACCAGAAATGTTAATTTTTTAAATTAATTACCAATTTACATATAGAGAATAAAAAATTATCAATTACTTTACCCAGTTAATTTAATCATTTAAAAGAAATTATAAACTTAATCATTTATTCAAATAACTCAACTACTATTTTATATCATGTTACGTAAAGGTATTAATAAAATTACTTACGAGTAGCATAGAATCTCCCAAAGAAAAATTCTTTGCTGCAATGATAAAATTACATTTATCAAAATGACTTGTGTTTTATAAAAGATTTGTATGTTTGTAAAAAGTAGGTTAAATTAATTTAAAAGTCTTTATATCCTTAGAGAATTTTTAAATTGATCAATATAGTTTAAAAATTTATAAAGGAGTTTTTATATCTTTAAAAACCTCCTCATGGAGTCTCCAAATTAGAAATATTGTCGAGTCCCTAAAGGGACCATATAAAAATTATTATTCTAGTTTTTAAATAAACTATAACTTATGTAAAATTTTCAAAAAATACAAAAAAAAAAACAAAACAAAAAAGAAAATTAATTTAACAGAAAAAAGAATTTAGTCTCACTGGAATATTATGCGTCAGAACTAGCATATTCAAATACGTAACTAACATAAATATAATAGATAATTGTCATAAGAATAACATAGCTAATCTAGTGTGAGATGGTAGAAATGCAATCGCCCCATTTGACAAACAATTTGGGTCCACGGTTTTGTAAGGCCCACTCTTTCTTTTTGTTACTTTCCCACCACAGAAGAGGAATTATAAATGTTACGAAGCCCAATCCAATAGACACAACAAACTCAATAAATACAAGGCAAATACTTTAGAAAGCACCAATACTAGAACATGTCAAATATTGCCAAGCCCAACATAGACAATATATAGTGTATTAAACTAAAGGGGCGTTTGGTATAGGAGAAAAAAATTTTCACCAGAGAACTACAATTATTGGAGAAATGGAAAGATACTAGAACATGTCAAATATTGCCAAGCCCAACATAGACAATATATAGTGTATTAAACTAAAAGGGCGTTTGGTATAGGAGAAAAAAATTTTCACCAAAGAACTACAATTATTGGAGAAATGGAAAGAATGTGAGTTTTCTAAGAAAGTTAAAAAAATATTGTTAGGTAGGCCAAAATATTACCAGAGAAATTAGTTTAAGTCTCCTGAGTCTATGTTTGGTAAATATTGATGGAAAAATGGAGTGAAATTACAAATATAACCCCATCTTTGATAAGAGTGCAAGAAGACCAAAAACTGGCACCGTTGTCGTACTGAAGGCTATTTTTGACACAAAATTCACATCTCCTTTTTCATTTAAGTCACAGTACCACATTCTGTGTGGTCTTTTTGTTTCAAATTTTGGTCTAAGATTACACATGAAATCAAATCCTAGTTATCCAATTCTCCCAGCAAATTTTTTTTAAAAATGCTACCAAACATGGTATGTTGGAATACCCATTTTCACTTTTCCATGCATCCCAAAAAAATCTTCCTACCAAACACCCTCTAATGGAAATCATTTGGAAAAGAAAAGTTTTTCTGAAATCAAAAATAATTATATATTACGGATAATACATAGTTATAATATTAAATTTTTTTTCTCTCCTCATACATTGTCGACTGACATGGAGGAGAGAGAAAAAATAATTTTACCATTATAACTTTTAGGGGTGAAAGTGGGCTGGGCTGGACCAAGCTTTATCCCGAAAAGCCCAAGCTTCCATAAAATTTTCTTAATTTGGCCTGACCCAAGCCTAGTACGAGTCTAACTGATAGCCTGGCTTGACCCGTTTATAAAAAAATAAATGGCCTGACCTAGCCCGTCAGCCTGTTAATTTTTAACTTCCAAGCAGAATCATGAATCAACTTTACAAAATACTCAAATTCTGTTGCTAAACCAAAAATCATAATTTTAACGTCCAAATAGAATCATGAATCACAATAAAACTCATATAATATGCATTTAAGTCACTTTCAAAAGCAAAATACTCAAACTAAATAACATATATTTCATCAGATCCAATAAACAAATGCATACTATGTAAATTAAAATAGCTACATGAATCCAACAAACACACATGATGTTTGTAATAAGTATAACCTCTCCCAAAAACTTTTTAATATATTCTTATACACAATCTAACATGCAGAGATGTTGGTTCCTCCTACATAAGAAATAAAGTCAGATTTCTATTAAAATATAATCGAATATAATTAAGTTATAAATTATTGCAATTGATTAAATTTATATATTTTATTTTTTCTTCAAGGCATACTTATTCTATTTTATTTTATTTAAAATAATAGTACAATATAGGTCGACATGTAAGTTTATATGTCAGGCCTTGTGAAAGTAGGCCAATGGCCTTTTTATTAAACAAGCTTTTTCAAGACCCAAGCTCAGCCTATCTTACGAAATATACTAGGTCAGGTCTGGTCTGACGTAGACCGAGCCGTAGGCCCCTGTAGACCAGCTCGACCTAGTTTCATCCCTAATAACTATGTATTACTCGTAATACATAATTAACATGGGTTGCTACAGATAATTTTTTTGCAGCAACATAAGAAAAATGGAACAGTTAAACTGTTTGATAAGTTATTGATGGTTACCCAAAATTGTTAAATTGATGTCCCTTATATTTTGAGCATCAAATTGATATTTCCATTTTCTTTTTATATTTGAATTAGAGATTTACAATTGGGCCACAAAATCGGCAGATTGATTATTAAGAATTCAAAAGGGTGAAATTGGGTTGGGCTTAACATAGACTCGGTCACTTGGGTTGTCTATAAATTTTAAATTACCTCTATAATGTTTGCAGCTGAAATTAGGGTTTTTGTTTACAAACCTCTCTGTTTGTCGCTGTTTTCTATTGTCTTCAAAATGTTTCGTTTATGCTATGTTTTATTTCAATTATAGTGAAAGCTTCATTATCTGGTCATTGTGGATTTTCGATTCCCATTCGACTCGTTCCCTTGAAGCTATATCGTTTGTGTTGTTCTTTTTTTTATGCCTCCCGAAACCCCCTTTTTTCCTGATGTTTTGGGAAAACACTGGAGCAACTAAATTTCTTCCGAAAGATTCGATTTTGATTTCTGGGTTTGTGTTTTTTTGTTGATTGATGAAATGGGTGTGCGTCATATTTAACTGTGATGAGCCCAACAGACCTGTAATGATTTGCGGGCATGATCGCAATCATTAATGAACATCTAAGGGACTGAGTTATGTCCTGTAGATCTCGCATTTATAAATTGTTGTTGCATGTCAACTGTGTATGATTTCATATTTGTGTTTTTTATTCTTAGTAGAAGTTAAAATGGCTTCGGATCTCAATGTGGTATTTGCTTGCATATTCTGTTTTTCACTTTGTTTGGCAAAAATTTCGAATTTGAGGATTGATGATTTAATATCCAAATGTTTAGATTATTGCTAATGGTGTTTTGAAGTCATATGGTTTAAGTTGTTATTTTGCAAAAGATTCAATTTTCTTTGTTTGTAATAGTATTTTGATTTCTGCTTTGAACTTATGACACGAGTATTAAATGTATCTTTGAAGTATTATAGCTTTGGTAGATTGGGATGAAGCAAAGTATATAATCCAACACTTGATCTGAGATAATTGCGTGATTGTAAACCTACCATTTTGCTACTGAATCTACCAGGTGCTATACTTTTTCTCTTTGTTCACTAAGGGCAAGTTATGTCAGTGAAACAAATGACGGAAATTATCTCTTTTTTGTTATTTATTTTCCTTCACGCAGTTGTTCATCCTAAAGAGTAGAACAGGTTCTTGTTGTGCCTGTGTTTTGTGATGTGATTTTAGATTAGATTTAATTAAGTTCTGATGCTTTTGGCTTTGCATAGATGGATTAACATCTACCTATGTGACTAGAAAATGGATCCTTTCATGTAAAAAAAACATGATGTGATAATCGTTGGTAGCTGGATTTATAAGTTCCATCCATTTCCTTTCTTTCCTTGTCTCACGTCAAGTGATGAAATTGGAAAAATCTTAGGACACCTTCCTACACAGCAGAAGTTGCTGTGGATGAGAACAATTTTCCATGCTGATGATGTGTTGACATGATGACAGGGCAATTGGATATTCATTTCAAATACTTCCAATACCTTAAACTTTTCATATTTAGTTCGTATAAATCGTGTTCTCGTATCAGCAACATTCGTCCTATGTATAATGTATACATTGTCAATTCAAATTAGACTATTATCCTCATTTTTTAGTTTGTTTTTTTCAAAATTAAATGTTTCTAAAATAATATAAAATTTCTAGTATGATTAATAAAAAATAAGAGAAATCTATTTTATTGTGTTTTGGTTTTTTGTTCTTAAAACAGATTTGAACAATAGTTTGTAAAAACTATTTTTCAGAATAAAAGAAGAAATAAATCTGTTTGATAAAATTATTTTTAAAAGAGTTTTAAAATTTAAAAAAAGAAAAATTTGTTTACTAATTTTGTTTTGAAAACATATTTTTAAAGTTAAAAAATAGAAAATTTGTTTGATTACTATTTTTTTTGTCGATTTTTTTTTATAATTTTTTTAATCATATGTAAAATTTTAAATATATTTTATTAAAATATATTTTTAACACTATAATAAATCACATTATAATTATTTTTAAAAATTAAAGTAAATCACACTGTAAACTAATGAAAACAAAATGAAATTTTAAATGTTATTTGAAATTATTTTTAATGAAATGAAAGTCAATTATCATGCTATTGACTTATTAAACATAAAAGTAGAGTAGAGTAGCTGTTTTATAACCAGCAGTGACAACAAGTGTTGCTCTGACAAGAACACATAGTGAACTTCCTATGGACAAAGCTACATGGACAACTCTAAGCATACTTCCTCAATAGTTGCGTCAAATTTGAAGAAGTTGAAACAGAATTTCAGCCAGCAATATGAATGGTACAAGAGCTCCTCCATATTCTGTTGTGATAGATTTCCAATAGACTGAAAAGCCAACTTTGTCTTTCTCTCTTCTTCTTGGACAAGCTGGCCTTTTGGCTCACATTTTTCATCTTCTCCACCATTTTGCACACCTTCCTTTACTTCTTTTTCTTCAGCACCATGAGAAATAGAGGCATGTACATCTTGTTGTGATGTACTTATTTTCTCAGCACTAAATACCCTTTTGGGTCCCCGACAAAAAACACGGTCCTCACTTTAGCCTTTTACAAAAATAATTTAGTCAATTAATCCCTAACAAATTCAAAATGGACCCATTTTAGTCCTTTTGAGGGACTAATATGGATCTTTTTTGAATTTGTGAAGGACCACGATTTCAACTAAATGAGTCCACTTTAAATTTATTTGGGACTAACTGACTAATTTATTTTTGTAAGGGACTAAAATAGGGACAGTATTTTTTGTTACGGACCAAAAGAGTATTTACTCTTTTCTCATACCGGCCCTCCATCTAATGAATCAAGGGCAGACAAAGCTTCTCTATGAGCACCCACAAGTTCCATAAAATCAGTTCCTGAATTGAGCAGATCATTTTACTTTCCACATTGAGTAATTTTCCCATCTTTCATGACCTAAGAAGATGACACAATCTGATAATACAATTAGGGGATAAAACAAGCAAAACTCTATTTGGATTAATGGCAATATGAGTCTGAGAATTGCTCACCAAGAGAACGTCAGCAGCAGATAAGAACTCTACTTGATGAGTGACAAATAACTGTCTTTGAACTTAAAAGGCCCAGCAAGCATTCCTGCCATTCCTTCTTAGAAGTCTTTGGTCACTCCTTAGGAAGATGAATTCCACATCTGAGAATTATAATTCTTCTCTTAGAATTCTCATGTTGAATTTTGGGTTTTGTCAATGTAAGTAGCCTGAGGTGATGCCAACAACTTATTCTTCCGGTCTCATAAGAGTTTTATACCAAGAATATAATTGGCTTCCCCAGTACTTCCATACCAAAACACTAACTTAGCCAACTCTTTATGCTTGATATTACCTCCATATTGTTTCTAATAAGGAGCATATCATCTACATAAAGTACCAGAAAAGCTACTGTCTTCCGTTGTATCCTTTACATACAAATACACATCATTCATCAAGGTTCTCTCAAAATCAAAATTTTGATAACCTGATCAAAACTGATGTTTCAAGACTTGGATGCTCGCTTAAGTCTATGAAATAGACTTTCACAACTTGCATACCGTGTGTTCCTACTCATTTGCTATAAACCCTTTTGGTTGTTGTATGTAGATATCCTGACATCCAACTCTCAAAATGAAATCTTATAATTGAGACTTATAGCAACTAAGAGAATCTGGATAGACTCAAGCATGGCGTCTGGCAAAAAATGCCTTCAAGCTAGCTTTGAAGGTTTTCACCTTTCTGTCCATCATCTCTTTGCCTTTTATGTCCACATGCACCTTGTGGGTTTTACCCCTCTTGGTGTCTTTACTAGGACCGAACAGAGTTGAAATACAAGTATTTCATCTCATTGTTCATAGCTTGAGCAACACTTGATCAACAACACCTTCTAGTGCATTATCGTAACTAGTAGGATCAATATCACTCAACAAGAGACAACTTGAGAGTTAACAAGGTTCTCTCCCACTATGAATGTACTGCACTAGACCTTGTGTATTTATAAGTAAAACAAAGAGTGGGTCAAATGATGGATCTTCAATTTCTTGAGGATCCGCTTATCCTTGATATTGTTCCTTTACATGTGATACTAATATTTCTACTAGTTTCACTTATATATTATCATGTTGAATTTCCAATCATGGTTCTCTTGTTTGTTCACTTAGAGATATATTTATCCCCTCTTGAACAATCAAGGGAACAGTGGATGAAGCTTCTAGAGATTCTGGAAATTCTTGATCTGAGATAAATCTCATCAAGAATAACCTAACTTAAGAGCTTATAATTTCTTATCTAGTCCTCCTTTAAGAAAATCATGTGAGTGCTCACTTAGATTATCTTGTCCTTAAGACTAAATAAGAAATCATCCCTAGTTCTCTTAGGGTAGCCAAAAGATATGCACTCTTCCATACAAGATTCTATCTCATTTGACTGTTGTTGTAGGACGTGTGTCGTAGCACCCTAAATCCGAATATGGTTTGATCTGGGCTTGCACCCTTTCCATAATTCTTTAGGTGTCTTTACAATAAACTTTGACGGAATCAGGTTAAGAAGGTACATTTCCTTCTCTTAGGCATCTTCCTTGAACAACATTGACAAAGATGAATAACTGAACATGATCTTCACCAAGTCTAGAAATGTTTGATTTTTGCATACTGCAACTTCATTCAACTAATGCGTTCTTAGAGTTGACAGTTACAAAAACTATCCCCTCTTAAATCAGGTAAGACCTGAACTTACCAGACAAGTAGCCAACACTTTAGTCAGACCAAAGTGTTTTTGATTTGAACACCTACATGCTTTTCTGCCTCAGACTTAAACCTCTTGGAAATTTCCAGAAGCTTTAGACTTATGGCGCACTTGGTTCATCTGTCCCAATCCAGAGTAAACATTCATATAATGAAGTACTCATCACCTCTTATGGTCTGAACGCTAAGTGGTCCACATACTTTAGTATGTACCAGTTCCAGTTGAATAGTTACGCAAACCTTTTTGGCCCTTGTAGGATTGCTTGGCCACTTTACCTTCCAAATAGAACTAACATGTAGCTGTTAGTTAAAAGATTATTGAACTTTCAGTCCCTCTTTTAACTAAAATATGTTTCCTACTTGAGATAATATGACTCAATCACAAAGGCCAAAGTTATGTTTCATTTGAAACTTTTATTTCTTTGGTGAAAGTTCTTGTTCATCATCCTTTCCATTCAACATAACAAATTTAAAAAGGGTATAGGACATAGGTAATAAAGACTATTTAAACAATGTACCAGAACAAAACAAGACGAAGATGAACTTCAAAATGTAACTGAGGAATCAATTGCATTGTCAAACCATGTTTTAACCAAAACAACTAACAAAAATTGAATTCCTCTTGAAATCCGGAACAAATAAACAATCACTCAAAACCATAGTCGTATAAATAACTTGTCCTACTGCAAATGCAGACACAAGTTTCCATTTTCAAGCTTAAAATATGTATGTCCATTGCTGACAGGTATGCCATATTTGAACTACTACAAAGAGTAACAAACATAATCAGTGATTCCTGAATCAATAATTCATTCACTGATCAGGCCTTGATATGCCCATGTCTGGTTCTTTTCATCACCTCTGGGCAATTTTTCTTTCAGTGTCCCTTTAGTCTGCACTTGAAGAACTTGCCTTGCGGCTTCTTCATAGCAACTGGTTTGACAACTGATAGCCAAGTCATTTTGTGCTTGTTACCACCCTTGGGTTTCCCTTTGGATTTAACAAGACTCTTAGCAAAACCTGCACCGACTGCATTCTGTCTAGCAGAGCTGCTAGACGCAGCAAACATGTCATTAAGAGTCTGAAGCATTTCTACTCCACTCTTAATCATGTACACTTGTTTCTGCAAGTATTTGGAAAGACTGACAATAATATAGCAGCGAACTACCATATCTGCCCTTTCCCAATCTGAGAAATGCATCTTAGTTTCCTAAGACGCATCCTCTGCAGGTTGCTATGGCCCTCGCATTGTCAGAACAAATTTTAGCTTCCATGTTTTAGAACAATATCAAAAAATTTGCTTTTCACTTATTCATAGTTGGTACCATCTAGAGGTTTTCGACTCAAAATCATTTCTAAGATATTTTCTGAAAAACATATAAAGCACACAATTACAAACAAATAATGCAATAAACAAACGAAAAAAATTATTAAGATTTAATCTAGTGAAATCTGATTATCCTTATCCGATGGGGCTTCAGCGATAATCATTTCACTAATAAACCCACAAATGGAGCCCGCATGTTTTAAAATTAATTAAATTTTAAAACCTTCACCCATTCAACATTTTTGTTTGAGAATTTTCATAAGGCCAGTCGAATTCATTGTTTAATTTCAAAATTATCTTTAATAACTTAGTATTATCGACGATGGGCCGTACAATACTTTATTAAAATTTTGAAATTATTAAGGCTC